TCGGGTCGTTCTGGGGTCGCATACAGAGGGGGCGGGGGGGGGTCGATGCATCACCACGGCCACCAGGGGCCCCCCGGGGGGGCCCCCCAGCTGCAGCACCAGCAGCACCAGCAGCCGTACCCTCACTCTGCAGGGTACGGGGGCCCCCATGGGGCCCCTGAACCCGAAACCCTCCCCCCTCCTACTATGGGGGGCCCCGCCCAGGGGGGCCCACCCCATATGCAGAGAGCAGCAGCAGGAGGGGCGCAGCTGCAGCAGCAGCAGCAGCAGCCGCTGCCTCCTCATCATATGATGGGGGGGCCCCCGCAGCAAAGTTTCTTGAGGGGTCGTGGCGGACAGCAGCAGCAGCAGCAACAACAGCAACAGCAGCAGCAGCTTCCTGCTGCGGATGGCCACCAGCAGCAGCAGCAGCCCGTAGCACATCCTTATGATCCGCATCATCTGCAGCAGCAGCAGCAAGCAGCAGCAGCAGCAGCAATGATGCATGGGGGGGGTAGGGTAGCCCCAATGCTGCTAGGCCCCGCAGCAGCAGCAGCACCGGGGCCCCTTGGTGAGGGTCCTGGGGGCCCCCACCATGGGGGCCCCCCTCCTCGCTTCGATGGGCCGCACCACCCTGGTGAAGCGCTGCAGCAGCAGCATCATCAGCAGCAGCAGCTGCTGCTGCTGCAGGTGCGTGACCTGCAGGAACAGGGGGCAGAGAGAGGGGGGCCCCCCCACGCTATGCATATAGACCCCCATCATCACCACCCGTATGGGCGGGGGGCCCCCCCTGGCGTTGGTGATGCTGCGCTGCAGCAGCAGCAGCACCACCACGTAGGTGGCCCCCACGGTGCAGCAGCAGCAGCAGCAGCTGCAGCAGCAGCAGCAGCAGCAGGGTACCGCTATGATGCTGTCCCGTTAGTAGCAGGGGCCTATGGGGCCCCCCTAGCTGTGTACCCTGCATATGGTGAAGTATGGGGGGGCCCCTCGGGGGCCCTCCAGCACCGGCCGCAGCAGCACCCGCTGCAGCAAGCGGGGCCCCGCAAGAAGAACGCGTTGGAGATCAGAGACCCCAAGACAGGCAGAGTGATCAACGGCGACCCCTCACTGACGGAGCAGCAGCAGCAGCCGCAGCAGCAGCAGCAGCAGCAGCAGCAGCAGCAACAGCAGCAGCAGCAGCAACAGCAGCAGCAACAACCGCAACAGCAGGCGACTGCTAATGTTAATGCGCCACAGCAAGGAGCTGACACAACTGCTGCTGCTCAGGCAGACCAGCAGCAGCAAGCTGCCAGCAGCAGCAGCAGCAGCAGCAGCAGCGCAGCGCCGACCCAATCGGACGCTGCAGCACCGCAGACCGATAGTGCGCAGCAGCAGCAGCAGCAGCAGCAGCAGCAGCAACAGCCGCAGCAACAGGAGCCGCAGCAAGCGGGCGATGCAGCAGGTGCAGCAGCAGCAGCAGCAGCAGCAGCAGCAACAGCAGCAGCAGCAGCAGCAGGAGGCGTAGCGCGGCGAACAAACTCTGGGGACTTCGTGCCCTCGGCGCAGACAGCCAAGAGAGAGCGAAGGAAGGTTCAGAATGCAGCAGCAAGAAGTATGCCGCAGCAGCAGCAGCAGCAACAGCAGCAGCAGCAAGCTGCTGCTGCTGCTGCTGCTGCAGCAGATGCAGCAGCAGACACGGGGGCGGGACCTGTAAGAGCTGCTGCGCAGCAGGGGCCCCTGGCGGGGGCCCCCG